AGCCTTTTTCTTTCTTTATTTTTTTTTCTCAGGTAAGTTCGCTCTTTGCAAAATTTACAACAAAAATAATGCACCATCTGTGGGCAACGCTGCACAAAATCGTACCGCGATGGGTTAAGAAACCGAATTTGGCGGTCGATTTTAAGAGCCTGGCCTCTCCTTGAATCACCCAGTAGTAATACCCCTCCGGCCTCCGCCAGGGTTTTCCATTCTTTCATTTTCATTCATTTATTTGTTTATTTTCTGTGCTCATGAACAGCTTGACGCCTCGGTAATGATGCAAAACATAATGTTCACAGGTTAGTTACAAAAGCCTTAAAAGCTACGAAATTTGGGTTAAAAACATCAATATCTGCTCCCCTGAGGGTATTTTAGAAGTGTTGAATATGGGTCAAGGGACTGGTTTGGCTGATGTGATTAACATGGAAAGTTGGAGAAACCCGCAAAACTCGACTCGGAACGTGAATATTAATAGCAGATGTGAGATCTGGGCAATCAATTAATCCATGAATACATTTATACAGGAAAACAAGATCGCGCTCACGCCGTCTGGAACTCAAAATAGGGCATTTGCATCGTTCCAAGAGTCTCGCATAAGAATGATAAAAAGTACGACCAATGTAACGATAGTAAACAATTCGAAGAAAAAAACGCTTTTGAACATTTTCAATCATCTCTTGTCTCGTAGAACTAATACAATTGCAGACTACAGAGGAAAACTCCAACTTGGTCCGAATTAATACAAAATATAGCCGAAGAATACAGGTTGATGTGGAGAACTCACGCGTGATTCCAGAAAGTACTCCCAGCTTCAAAAGAGGCATTTATAAGGTTGTTAATATGTACAGTAAAGTATAACGGAGAGTCTATGTATTCACCAAGATCACGCGTGAACTCGACTCTTCGCAGAGGATCATTGCCAATCTGGTAACAGAAGTTAATTTTTTCTACATTTCTAGACAAAGACATATCAGCGGTTTTAGAAGAATTGAGCGTTAGCACGTTCTGGCGACACCAATTGCACACACTCCTAACATCCTCCATACGTCTTTCACAGTCTTCCAAGAATATGATCTGCCTAAACAACTTGACATCATCTGCATATTGCAAGACGACTGAATTGCAAACAATCAAGCTCAAATCATTACTAAAAACATTGAAAAATATCGGCCCCAGTATGGAACCTTGCGGCACACCCGAAGAAGAAACATAAGGCCAGGAGTGATGTCCAAGAACACGAACAATATTGTGTCTAAGCCTTAGAGAGATCAATATATACAACGTCTACCTGTCGACGTTGACACACAGTAGGCGAAACGAAATTTAATAAAAGACACCAGATTTGTCTCAACAGACCTTCCACGCATGAAGCCGTGTTGTGAACGGCTTATCTTATGCTTAAAAAAGGTTTGAATTGCGCTCAAATAAATCAATTTCATAGACCTTAGCAAGGGGAGATAGTAAAGACACAGGTCTGTAATTTTTTACGTCATCCGTTCTGCCGTTCTTATGTACTTGCACAGTACTAGAGTACTTCCACAGGGGAGGAAATGTAAGGCTCTGCAGCGGCATGTTAAAAATATGCGTTAAGACAGGCGCCAAAATAGAGGAGCATCCTGCAACAATAAAGCTTGGAATGACGTCAAATGCAACTTATAACTTTGGCTTCAGTTTCCTGATAGCAAGTTCAATATCAGTAATTTCAAAAGATAGAAGTGTCAGTTGATCACTGGCATTATCGCTGACGCCATGCACAGGCAGTTCAGTTTGGCAGCAAGAATAAACCGAAGAAAAAAAACTCGCGAATGCATTTGACACATTTTCGGGCTCAGACAGCATATCACCTAACGAGTCAGCTATGTTTATTGATGACGAAGTTGTAGTTGTGCGATCCTTTACATATCGCCAGAAAAGCATTGGGTCACTATTTAAGCTGCGCTCTACTGACTCATGGTGTAATATTTTATATCGCTTCAACAATGTCTTAGCTAGCGCACGCGACTCAGAAAAGTTTAGGTACCAAAGAGCGGAATTCGCAATCTTATATTTCCTATGATGATGCAATTTCTTTTATAGAACTTATCTAAGCTCATTGGAGTAGCAGTGCGGATAACGACTTGTGTAAGGACGCTTTTTGGGAACGTACCTTTAAAGTGCATCCACGATATAGGTTGTGAACACTTCAACGCCACAATTTACATCGGTCATACTATACATAGAACCCCAATCTGCATTATCTAAATGTTGATAAAGGCCAAATTAATCGCCTTTGAGAAAGCAAGCGACTCACGGTTTTTGTGCTTTACTCAGAGAAATCATTAACGAAACAGAAAAAGGAGCGTGCCGAACATCCGGTAAAACAAGCGGATTGAAAACAGACATCAGGCTCTCGATAGGAAAGTTGGCCAAGGCCTGATCAAGCACATGTCCAACTGAGTTATGAAGACCTGTCATTTGGGTAAATCCGAAAAGGTTAACAAATGAAAAAAAAACGCATTCGCTTTAAATGATGCACTCTGAGCAGACAGCGCAGGATGTACCGAATTCTAGTTTATTTTAGGATTATTGAAATCACCAAGTATGAGTATACGATGTTGATCCACATCCAATTTATCCCCTAGCATATCTAATTGGTCACAAAACTTAGATCCGTCGACATTAGGAGGAAAATAAAAAGTGCCTATAAGTAAGGTATTGTTATAACGAAGACATATCCAAGGGGACTCGCACTCGAATTGGAGATTAAACCGGGGAACAGCCCGTAAATGTTTCTTAACTGCTATTAGTACTCCACGACCGAATTTAACGCAAAGTTTTCGTAATCTCGATCCCGACAAAACACTGTGTATTCTTTAGGGGAAATAGTCCAGGGATGTTAATGAGCTATTTAACCAAATTTCGCTTAAAGAAATTATATCGTAATCACCTAGAACAACGTTATTTAAAAAAATAGGAGCCTTCGTACGTAGTTCGCGGACGTTTCGATAAAACACTGAACAATTCCTTCGACAAGCTAGTTGGGCGTTGCTGTGTCACGAACATCATTGCGCCGTGCAACATCGAAAAATGGCCTAAAAAGAGAGTCCATGCAAAACATCTGCATTGTTCACTCTGTCGAAATTATCCTCATTCACAACAATGCAAAATGACTAGTAGCTTTCGTGTCTAGTTTTTAACTTGGTGCATGTAAAAGATCTTCCTTCCAAAACTGCCTTCAGCACCTCCCCAACATCAATACACGTAGTGTCAGGATTGAGACGCAATACAAAAAGCGCCTTGAGCCTTGGTGCTCTAGGGGCTGACGATAGCCTACTGCTTGTGCAGGTACCTGAGGATGGCTTGACTTTTTTTTTCCTTTCGATGAGCGTAAAGCAATCGGCATCTCTGGATGCCTTCGGCACGGTCACCACGGGCGGCAGTACGGAGGACACAGCAGCCGCAACAGATGTAGATGCATTAAGCGCGATCCAAACCAACGCTTCTTTTTGCGCCTGTAGGTCGTGCGGCTGCGGATGTGACGCATTTCCTGACGTTTTTGCTGTTTCCGGGCGCGCTTTCAGAGTCAGAACCGTGCGCTTTGGTTTGGACGGGCCAGCTTCGGGCGAGCGCGCACGCGCGCAAGACTGGCCGGCCAGGCCAGTCTGTCGCAGCTAGAGGGCGGCGAGAGAGAGAGATAGAAATCGCGTTGTTATGTTGGAAGAGAATAAAAGTGGGGGGAGGAGAGGACCAATTGTGGATGCGCACCAGGCGCTTTTGTCACTTGCTCTGAGAAGGCGGGGAAGAAACGCGGAGCCGGAACTAGCTTGCCCTCCACCGATTGGCCGGGACACTGGAGTGCCCTATACGTCACCGCGCGCTTTTGTGCGCGTTGAGAAAGAAGTTGAAATTATCCAACTTTTTTGTGCGCGCCCGGAAGAAGCGAAGAAGTGGCGCGACGTCACGAAAATACGTCACATCCGCAGCCGCACGACCTACAGGCGCAAAAAGAAGCGTTGGTTTGGATCGCGCTTTACCCGGATGGGCGGAAGTAAAACGACTTCCGGACGCCTCTAGGGCGGTTAATGCAGCGTACCGGCCTGATGAATCTTTCCCAAAAAGCTCCGCGAAGCTTGCGGACTCAGGACCCCGTTGCGCAGACGGTGTTATTGTCGGCCGTGGCTCAACGGCTCGGGCAGTAAAACGACGTAGCATTTCCCTGTTCCTTGACAGATGCAGAAGCGGAGACGCGTTTTCCGCCTTCAACGAGAGAACTTCATTGACGAGAGAATCGACCTTGTCATGCAGTGCCACCAACAAGTCTTTCAGACAGCCACACGCACTGCAGTTTCCCACAATGGTGCTCACCGATGCCACGTCAAAATCATCAGGAGGACGTTGTTTCCTGATAGCACTAACTTCATCGGAGTCATTGCGCCTCGTGCAGGCTTTACAGTTGTAAGTGCTGACACCACTCTGCATGAAGTAATCGTAGTCATCTCCCACAACGGCGGTGCACTTGCAGTGAAAGCGGGTACCGCAAGAACCCAAACATCGCAGGAATTGCATCCGGCCGATGAACATTTCGGAACACACCGAGCACACGTCCTTCGAGTAGGGCATGTTGCCAGCAAGGAGTGGCAACATGTCCTTCGAGAAGGACATGTTGCCACTCGCCTGCCTAGAATCCGTAATAGAAGATCATGTGGCCACTTGTTCCCGCAACGAGTTGAAGAAGCTAACTATGCTCGTTTATGCAAAAAAAAAAAAAAAAAAAAAAAAAAAACTTCTACGACTGCCTTTGAGTTGAAATTAAAGCTAATCCGTGTTTTGGGGGGTTATGGAAGTCAAAGATTTGATCTAAGCAGTGCGTAATTTATTGCAAGCCCGAAAATTGTCGCACGACAGGCTTAATCTATCACATATATTTCGGGAGAATCGAATCGCCATAAGGAACTAGAATGCGTTATCTCCGCCTCAACGGCACAACTCAACCTCAGGCTGAATTACGTGATCTCACTTACCCAAAGAGCATCAGGTAGAAATCGGCAGGCCTTGCGAACGTGGTGTTTTTGGTGAATTGTCCAAATAAATATATTGACTCATACGCTTCGACTACATTATCTTCCTCCACAACAAAATACTCATCTTCTTTCGTCTGTAAACATAAAGAATGAAACGAAAATATTTATATTTTATAAGTTTTTTTCAATCACAAATTTGACCGCCGTTGAAAAGGGTGCTTGGTTATCATCGAAAAGTAGTACTTTCTAGATGCGATTATGTTTCTAGGTATTATTGTTTATCAAATTGTAAAATACTTGGCATTGAGTCTCCTAAGTAAAATAAGCTAAATGAAATGTACGGACCTTTGCGAAAACGAATTAGAAAGGAGCTAGTTTTGTTCTGAGAGCGCCATCAATCCCGACAAAAATAAAAATTGTATAAAATGAAAATAGAAAACGAATGGTTACTTTGAAATAACACCGACGGCTCTGACTGCGCGAACAGAAGTGATTTAGTGACTTTGATTTAGACAGATAAATCCCCAATTCCTCTTGATTGGCACTATCACTTTGAGAAATATGTCTTCGTTTTCTTATTCATTTACACGGTGTTATGTAATCGCGACATTAAAATAGTGCAAGGTCGTGGCGGAAATAACTGGTGTCTTTGTAACCCTCACCGAACCATAGGAACCCTTCTTCGCAACACAGACCGACGCTCCTTTCTTACCTTGTTCGGGGCACCAACGTACCATCAGATATAAGATATGTGTGCAGGCACGCACTAGCACCACCCCCCCCCCCCTTCCCCTCCCTCCTTTCAGCCTTGTTCGAAACTATTTTTCTGCATTCGATTAGAAAGATTCCATCTGCTAGCAGCAAATGTATCTTGGTTTTATTTCTCAAACATCACACACTGGTACAACGAATCGACTGCAGCTTTTTTCACACACTTATTTTTCCGGCTAAAGCTCTCAGCAATGCCTATACTTTCAAAGAAGCTTTAGCATAGTTCAAAAATTAAAAAAAGCGAAATGACGTCTGTGAGAGAACGTAGTTTAATCTCCGTCAGTTTTTTTTCCTTTTTTTAGCCCACTTCGGGCCTCGCGCACGTATGGCTGCCCCGTTCCCAGCTTGAAGCAAGATGACTCTTGTTTTGGCCTCGTCTCTCTCGAATAAATCAATGAATGCGAAGGGGTTCGGGTGCGATCTTCCCGACATGGCTTTAATTTTTCGCAGCCATGCCTCCATATAGTTGTTGGTTCTGGATCCCCTATTTCCGTAATGGTTCTACCGTTCCAGTTGGAAAATGCCCTCATCCAAGTCGCGTCAAAGTAATCAAATAATCCAATAAGCTCCTGATTACCGAGCAATATACGCCCCGACGCATTAACGCCCAGAGGCGAGGGATGTCAGGAGGCGAAACAAAGAAAAGCACCACGAGCTTACGAATGAGCGCCTTTAGCTGGCTGTATCTTGAATATGCGCTTTAGAGCGAAGCCCCTTGAAGGGAAGCCCAAACTTTTTGCGCAGAAATGAAAGTGGCACCCGCGATGAGCAGCTTTGGGAAACACGACGCGCAGACCACCAAAAAGCGCCTGCTCAAAATACATCATAAAACCTTCAGGGGTCGAGGAAGGGATCCCAGCAGATGTGAATGTAATTATCGCCCTTCAAACGCACGTGCATAAATTTGTAGTGAACCGACCCGACAACAAAAGCAAACGGCTGCGCAAGGCACTCCGTCAGTTACAGCCTGCAGAGTTGCATGTTGGTCACACATGTAAGGTACAACAAAAAAAAAAAAAAGTCCCGTCCGGAAAAAAAATATTTTTAACTGACGACAGCCGTTGTATGCCATTTCGTGTTGCTAAGGCAACTATTCAACACGAGGGTCTCTGCGGTCATGGTTGATGAAGAAGGGCTCTGCTATTTTTGTCTTTTCGTGGGCGTCGTTGTCTTGGGGAGTGTCGGGTGATGAAGGAACCGGTGGCTGTGCTGAGCGCCTTTCTTCATATATCGAATCCTTCAGGCTGGCAAACGTGGGTACATCTGCTGCATCTTCATCTGGCACCTAAAATAAATTTAGTGATTTCGTTTAGCAAAGTTTGTATGACACTTCATATGCGTGATAGTTATAATATTTTGGAAGGAAACTGCAGAGCAGGTTTGAAGAATTTCCTCGTTAAACAACTTTGGCATGGGCGTATTCGGGTTCGGTGCTGCTGACCTCTTCAACGCCAAGCGCAGCTGGTCCCTCACAAGACTCGGCTCGCCAATTGCATGGTTATGGTCACCTATCTGTAAAAGGAGCGTAAATGTGCAATGGCATGTTAACGGCCCTTAAGCATGTACCTAGTGGCGCTAGTAAGAGTAAGTAAGAAACGAAACAAATAGCTTGGGTTTCTATTATGCATAAACAGACCGTCACAAACAAATCGGACAGAGCAACTTACGGGATCTGCTTTTCACGTTGTCCTCTTCAGTCAAAATCGAAGCCGCGCATTCTGATGAATTGTAACGGCAACGAGACGAAACGATTCCGTTTGCTTTCTGCCGCTCTTAGTGACAGATGTAACCTTCAAAGTAAAGGCGCTTTTCTTCTCTGCGTTTCCTCTATACAAACGCGGACATCGCCCGTGTCTGATGTCTCACTGTTTATTGGCTCGTTTTGTATATCGGAGTGCAACGTTTTTGTTTTTTTTTTTGAGTGCGAGGGGGGCATACAGTTCCGTGTTTTGACACAAAGACGGTTCAGCATTTTATGACTCAGCGCCAGTGTTGGGGTAACGCGTTACAAGTAGGGATGTCGCGAACCACCCTAGGTTCGATTTCGAAAGGTTTCGATATTTGCGAAGCGAACTAAGGTTCGATTTCGAAAAATTTCGATATTTTCGTACCGACCGAGGTTCGATTTCGAAAAATTCGCCACTTTTGTCCACAGCGGAGTTTCGAATTCGAAAATTTCGAAGCTTTCACGGTTTCTAAAATTTCGAATTCGAATATTTCGAATATTTTTTTACTTCAGGTTCGATAAATTCGAAGATTTCGAAATTCTTTGTAAAAAAAATTCGAAAACTTCGAACGCTTTGAATTTTTATAGACATGAAGTTCGAACAATTCGAAGATTTCGAATTTCTTTTGGCTTAAAGTTCGAAAAGTTCGAAAGTTTAGATTCTCTTTTAACGCTACATTAAAAAAAAAAAAAAAAAAAAAAAAAAAAAAACTTCGAAGATTTTGAATTTTTTTCTAATCCAAGTTTTCAAAGTTTGAAGTCTGATTTTCAAGTTTTTCTACAGTTTCAGTTGCAAATAACGTTTTCACGACTCGCTTGTTTTCACAAAATCAAGTTTAGAAAAGTTAGGGTGTGATACCTAGATTCTGCGAAGTTGGTAAGGCAATTAAATGAGACGACGAGTGTCCCGGACGTGCTAGAATATTTGCCAGTGCAGAATTGTGACCGCCAGCCCCCCCCGGGGGGGGGGGGGGGTCTTTATCACGCAGTAGTGATTGCACGAAAACACTGTTTTACGAGACTCATCCAGTTCGAAACGGCCAGGGGCGAGCAGGAGGTTGAGGCTCAGAAAAACCTTGAAGCGACCTGGCAAACTAGCTCGCCACCCCTTGCACGCTGGTAGTAATCCGATCCGGTGAAGTTTATAATTGTCCTGGAGGTTTATTTTCTGGGACGGAGGAATCGCTTCGCAAAAAGCACAAAAGCCGACACAACTCGAGGTCGAGGAGCGTTCTACCATACAAGTGGCGTCGGAAGAGGAAAAACGGGGGAAGGAGGGTAGCGGGGGGGGGGGGGGGGGGGGGGGGCTTCAGCCTCCTTTTTTCCCTTGCAGGTATTTCGGACTGTTAAAGAAAACAATACGGGGAAAGAGGGCGTGGTCGAGCTTATTTTAATCTGAAATTATTTATGCATATGTATAGCTACTGTCGCTCTTCACTACATAAAAGGTTGCGTAGATGGTCACTGTTAGAAACTCGTTGTCAGAAGGCACTGCTCGTCACATGCTTAGTGGTTCGGAAGTTCAAAGCTGTCTTTTCGACCTAAACACCTGTGCCGATAGTAACAAAAGAAAAAAAAAAAAGAATAAATGCGGGAATAAAAAGCAGGAGAAAAAAAAAAAAACTATCAAGAATTCGTCGGAAGTGTTCTATTTGTGCATATTCAGAGGTTCAGAACTTCGAAACAAGTTTCTTTTACCAAAATGTGTACAGGCTAAAAGAAACACGTCCCAGGAACGTGAAGCGAAAAAAAAAAAGTTTTCTTTTAATGACGTGCTGAACTTGAGCACTACTAGAAATCTTCTGCAATGAGCTAATTTATTCCTTAACGTGAAAAAAGAATAAATATATTATTTTGTATTCTGAAGATGGCAACGATATGTACTGTCTGTGGTGCTAATTTAAATGCGATACCTCAAACAACTTAGACGAAAATAAATATCAAGTTTAGGTCATAATTGCATGCAGATACATGTTTGGACATTTCTTCGAAACTCACGTTGAATAACAATAATCACATCTTAAGACGGCACTTACCTGTAGCTATACATAGATCATTCTTAAAAAAGTATAACATATCTACCATAAATAGCTCCGGCTGCAGCGTGCTTCAAATCTGGCACAAAAGATAATCGTCAAAAACCCGTCGTGTCGTCCGTCCTCGCCCCTTCGGGGATTTATTTCTTTAAACCTAAGCATGCCAGAACATTGAAATAAATGACATTGTCTTTCGTAAGGAACGCAGCACCGCGTGTAAAAGTTCGAGAAAAAAAAAATTACGAATGTACCCCACTCCTTGAAATCAAATGAAACCGGCCGCCGGTCTTTCGAAGTTCGACGAACGTCGAACTTTTACCCTAAAAGTTCGAAGTTCGTCGAACTTCTGACTTTTCAGAATTCGAAAGTTCGAAACTTTTCGAATTTTCTTGATAAATAAGTTCGAAAGTTCGAAATTCATCGAATTTTTTGGTTAGTCAAGTTCGAAAGTTCGACAAGCATCGAACCTTGCAGCGCAATAAGTTCGAAAGTTCGAAAAAGATCGAATTTTTTAGCGTAATAAGTTCGACGGTTCGAAACGCGTCGAACTTCTTAGCTTAACAAGTTCGAAAATTTGACCTCCGTCGAATTTTACGATATA